CTGGCCGTGCTGGCCCAGTACTTTACGCTGGACAGCATCACCAAGGTCGCCTTTGGGCAGGCCTTTGGGTTCTTGGAGCGCGAAGAGGACGTCCACGGCTACCTGCAGAGCATCCTCGACGTGGCGCCCGTCATGCAGACGAGCAGCGAGGTGCCCTTCCTCAACCGCATCGTCACGTCGCCCTTTGTCCTCAAGCTGGCCGGGCCCAAAGTCACCGACAAAGACGGCATCGGTCGCATGATGGGGTGAGAACCTGACCAGCCCCCATTTGCTCGTTCTCGTTCTCTTCCACGTCACCTGCTAACCCTTCAGTGTTGCCCGCGATATCGTCGCCGAACGGTTCGTTCCAGACACCAAGGACCGTCGTGATATGCTGGTGCGTTTTCATTCATCGTCTTCTTTTATTTGTTCTCGCTTCTTTCGCGCGTGTCTCCATGGCGCGCATGCACTAACTAACCTGACCAACCCAGGGCGCCTTTGTCCGCAACGGCCTCTCCCAACGCGAGTGCGAAACAGAAGCCCTCTTCCAGATCATTGCCGGCTCCGACACCACCGCCACCGCCATCCGCATGACGCTCCTGTACATTATGATTACGCCGCGCGTGCACGCCCGGCTGCGCGCCGAGGTCGACGCGCACTTTGCCGACCTGCCGGACGACCGAATCGTCTCCAATGCCGTCGCCGAGACCCTGCCGTACCTACAGGCCGTCGTCCTCGAGGGCCTGCGGATGCACCCGCCGTTTGTCGGCCTGCCCTTCAAGGAGGTGCCGCCGCAGGGCGACACGCTGCCCGACGGCCGGTTTGTGCCGGGCGGCACGCGGATTGCGCCGAGCATCTGGGCCCTGACGCGGCGCAAGGACGTCTTTGGCGAGGACGTGGACGTCTTTCGGCCCGAGCGATGGCTGCCCGCGCCCACGCCCGTGCCCGCGCGCGTGGCCGACGGCGAGCGCAGCGAGGACAAAGACACCAACGGCAACAGCCCGGAGACCATTGCCAACATGCGGCGCACGCTGGACCTCATCTTTGGGTACGGGCGCTGGGCGTGTGCGGGCAAGACGCTGGCCTTTTTGGAACTCAACAAGACGCTCGTCGAGATGATGCGGCGCTTCGAGCTGCAGCTGATGTACCCGCTGCGCCCGCTGTCGATGGTCAACCACAATTTGTTTTTGCAAAAGGAGATGTGGATGCAGGCCACGGCGCGGTCAACGTGACGTCGACGACGAGGCTTGCATCGTGGGGAGCACAACAAACGGAAACGCCAACGTGAACACCAACACTCCATAAAGGCACCTCCAGTTATTCCCCACGACACATGTCTTGGTTCGGACAGTGATGGTTGTTAAGAGTCCGTTCTTTGCTTTATTGTCTCGTCCTTCTTGTCCTCCAAACCCATCTCTTCATTCTGTTATATCTCCTCCCATACGTTTGTTCTTTCTGCCATAATGACCGTCATGACGATCCATCACCCCATCTACGAATGAATTTATCGCCGCGATTAATGGATTACCCGTTCTTACTACAGCAAAATCATCCGCACTATATTAAGCACACCAGTATTATGATAAACTGTCTAGATGCCGTCCTTGGACGTAGCATAACGAAAGAAGAAAAAGGAGACAAAAGAAGAGGGAAAAGTACAGGAAATGAGCGACATGAAGATAAATGAGCAGAAATCATATGATACCCGAAAAGCAAAAGCCAAATGCCTTGCTGCATATGTACAAAACGACGTCCCCCCCAAGATTGGTCTTCATCTAAGGCAGCTCCTTGAAGAGAGCCAGTAGCTTCGGGTAGTCGGGCGATCCCAGGCCCGTCACTGGGTCCCAGCCCTCTGCCGCCGGGAAGCCGTCGGTGCCACAGCCCGGGTTCGAACCTGAGGTAATGTCGTTGAACACCTCCGGGTGCTGGTACAGCACGGGGTTGACAAATCCCACCGTCGACTTGCCCTGGTCCAGCCGCACTTCGTTGACCAGAGTCAACACCGCTGCCCACACGGGCGCCGCCAAGGATGTGCCGCCAATCGTGGCCCACGCACCATTGAGCACCGTCACATAGTGGTCACCAATGGCTGACACGTCGGGGAAGCCGCGGCCGCCAATGTGGTAGACACCGTCGCCTGCTCCGCTAAAGTTGCCGTTGCCCATATCATAGTAACCCGTGAAGCTCAGGTCCACCTGGCTGAAATACTTGGCTACAGAGAACGCCTGGTACGACGGCTGTGGGAAGTAGTTGCTGAAGCCACCACCCGAGCCGAAGCGCGACGTGGCCCGCTCTGTCAGCTTGGGCACGTGTGACGACGACGTGCCAGAGGGCGCCGTGTAGTTTCCGGTGCTGTTGCTGCTGGGTGGCGTCAACGGCTCGGCCAAGTCAAACTCGGTGCCACCGACGGCCAGTACGTAAGGGCAAGTCGCTTCGCTTGCGGGGTAAAAGATCTGGCCGTCGCCGCCACAGCCATCGTAGTTGCCCCCGTCGTACGCGCCCGAGGCCACGCCGTCGTCACCCGACGAGATGACAACCGTCACGCCCTGCAGACCCAGCTTGAGGATCTCGGTGCACTGTCTCTTCCAGTAGTATGCCGGAAGGTCGGCCTCGCCGCCGCCGTAGCTGATGCTGATCACGTTGGTGGGCTCGTAGACACCGCACTGCAGAGTGCCGTTGTAGCCGCCGGGAGCGGTGTCCGGGTACGACGGGTCCATGCACTCGGGCTTAACGCAGTTGCCCGTCTCGCCAAAAGCGCTGAACGTGCAATACGAGCCGTCGATGGCGTCGAAGAACGTGTTCCAGAAACCAAGGTACGGGGTGTTACCCGAGGTCATGTTGGCCTGGATGCGCTCATCGTCGACCTGGAAGAGGACCGCCTGCTGCGGGTAGATCAGCGGCATGGCGGCCTGGAAGTCGAGCTCAGCTTCGCCGCCAGCAGTGTCAGGCTGGGTGTCGGCCGTTGCACCGTCAATGAGGCGTGGAATCGGGTACGTGCCCTGGGGAATGTTCCTGGGTGTGTTAGCTGTGGCACGCTGTACTAGACGACATGAAAGAGCCAGAAACATACGGTGAGACGACCTCAAAATAGTCGTCGAGGTCCGACTTGCTGTAGTGCTGGTTGAGGGCCTCGAAGATGCCGAGTTCGTTGCCCGGCCTGGCCGTGGTACCATTGGGTATACCGTACTGGGCTACAAGGAGGAGTCAGCAGTCTAAACGATGTCTTGAACAGCCCCATTTCTTCAACGTACTCCGAATGCAGTTAGGCGTCACGTATTCGTAGCAGTTGCTGCTGTTCATCGGCGGCGGCTTGTTCAGCGTGAAATCGGTCCCCATGGTTGGGCCGCCGGAGTCCTTGTTGGCCGACACACCGCTGTTGAGGTACGTCGGATCGGTGTGCATGGCCTTGGTCCGGCGACGACGGTCCACCAGTCCCGTGTCCAGGTCCCGGCGCCGACGCTGCTTGCGTGCCGTCTCCACATCATGCCGCAGCCGAATGCCCGGGATCACGTAGTCAACGTGCTCCTGCACAGACCGCGGCAAGTGATAGTGCTCAGCCGCGACATCGCGGGTCCGCGTCTCGCCGTGCTCGTAGACGTGGTACTCGGCCAGCAGGAGTTCCTCGGCCTCGGCCACTGTGGCATCAAACTGGATCCACTGCTTGTTGGCCGACTGCGTGATACGGTCAATGTGGATACCGGCCGATGTCAACCACCCGACAACAGCGTCGACGGTGGCACGCTCGGGCGCAAAAAAGTCGACCACCTCCTTGGAGGACATGTGTTTGCCGTAGCTCGCCGAGGTCGGGTCGGCAATGGCCATCAACCGCGCGTGGGCGCTACCGTCGTCGACGTTCCGCTGCTTGAGACCGACCCGCATGGGCAGCAGGGCGTCCGCAGGGGCACGCTGGGTGCGGTCCCAGCGGCGGGCCCAGGTCTTGGGCTGGCGCTCGTGCAGGGTATGTGTGTCCGGAATCATGCGGCGGGAGCTTTTGACTGTTGAGGACGATATCGACTCGGCGTCCTTGTTGGTCGGGTGAAAGACGCCGCCAGGCAGGTCCTTGAAGTGGGCTCGTGTATTGTGCTTGTGGGCGTGCGCTTTATGGGCTGCGTGAGCCTCGGCGTGAGCAGCGGAGTTGCGGCTACGGTGTTTGGTATCATGGGCGTCGTGGTGAGCCACGGCACGTATGTCCAGCACGGCGTGCACCTGGTTACCGATTTCAATGCCGACGTCCGGGGCCGGAACCGGACCGGCGGCGGCCTCGAGAGCAAGGCCGCCGACGAGGGCCACGCACGCGAGGGTGTTGAAATACATGGCGTTTAGCGAGATGTTATTATCATGGGGAATGGCGAGGATATGAAGAGAGTGCGTGTGCGTGCCAAACGTGAGTGGTGTTCAAAGAGCGAGAGAAAGGCAGCTCAACGGAAGAGTAAATAGAGGTGACTGTGATGTGAGCTCAAATAGAAGGAGTGAAATACAGAAACACAGAAGGAGCGACAGGACGGCTTTGGTCGATGCTGGAAAAGCCCAAAAGAGAAGGAGTGACGGATGGCACGAAAAGACAACGAACAAAACACAAGGAGGGAAGGAGCAACACAAATGAGTGACCACGGCCAGAGAGAGAAAAGGGAAGGAGAGAAAAGACGAAGAAAGGAAAGAAGAAATGTCTTGAAAAGAGCAGGTGCACAGAACAAAAGGACAACAGAAAAGGAACGAAAACAGGAGGATGGCCACGAGAAGCCCGGGTTACATGACATGGGGACGTACAACCCTTCTTCTCGGCATCAAGATCATCTTTATCTGCCGTGCTCCCTCGATGCCACTGAAAGCTGGGCGACTGACTCTGCCATCTTGCCTTTTTTACCCATTTCCACTCTTTGTGCCCTCTTTTCTGGGTCTATTCCCTCGTTGTCGCCTTTGACTCCTCTTTTTTTGCCCTTGTCGTGTGCTCGTCGTCCACCTTTGTCTTCTTGGCCGACTTCCCAAACGGGAAGCTTACACGGGAGATCAATAGAAGCGCGATGACGACACAGAGGCAGGGGACGAGGCCAAAGGGCAAGAGAGGAGAACCAGAGGATGGAAAGGGAAGGGCGCTGCCGCGACTTAGACATGCCCACATGCCGGACAGCCTTCCCTGCGCGTACGACTTGGCCGGCCACTCTTATTTCTTCTGTGTCTACTGGCCTTCCAAGCCTAGCTTTGTGGCATCATCGTCGGCACCCAGTACCTGGACCCGCGGGGCCAGCCAGCGCGGCCGTTGAAACAAGGCGACAAGAGATAAGCCAAGGGAGCTTTAATCAAGGGCGGCAAGCTTAATTTGCCGTACTATGAGGTGGTCGTTTTACAAGCTGTACAACATTGGTGGTCGAGGTCGTGTCTCGGTCGTGCAAGGAGGATCTCAAGTTTTGCGGCGCTACTACTGGCTGGCATGTTCTGTTTGGCACCAACCCCTGGCTTTGGTTCCTGGACTAGTTTGCGCAGCGCGGGTGCCATCGACGATCTAACGACCTAGCATGTGCGCAGAAACTCAAAAAGACGACCATCAGCCATCAGGACCTCGCCAGGTCGTCTTGGCGGGCAGCTGTGGCGAGATGAGAAGGGACATGATATGCACAAAAAAGCAGGTATGCAAATGGAGTACGACGAAACGAAACGCACCAGGAGCCTGGCGGGCGAGGCGCTCAGGCGCTCTCGCGCTCTCCGTGTTGCACGATGAGAATGGGGAACCGAAGGGGGAGAAGCAACGGTGCGCCGACAAAACTTGGAAGAAAAGCGGAGAGACTGTGAACATCATAGGCAAACCTGCACGCCTTGTAAGATACTTTTGATTTTATTCATCTCGCAGCGGTAGAAACACTCGACAAGATTCGCGGCACAACTTGTGTACGGGTTGTTTTATTTGCCGTACTCGGCTTCTTCTTCTGGAAGGTCGACCCTGACACCCGCTCAAAAAGGCAGCTCTATTTGCTCGCCTCTTCCTTTCCTGCGCAGCAGCAGCTTAATCGTAACGATATGTTAGACGGACTTGCATCCAATCCGACGCAGGAGGTCTGTCCCTTTCGTTGCCCGTTTTGATAATGATCGTCGCCTGTGTCGCCGCACATAATCAGGCTCGACAGGCGGTTGGCCCCCTTGTCAGGTCCCTTAGCCGATTCCCTGGAAAACGGGATGACGGGAAAACGGGATCGGCAAGCACGGGGCGCCTCTCTTTACCGGAACCTTCTATTTTGTTGGTGAACTGCGACATCCGCCACCAAACGGCGTTCTCTGTATTTATGAGGAGTTTCCCCCCGAGACACTTGCCCAGAGTGCAATAGAAATATCCTCCCTGGCAGTCCAATCGCCGTTGCACAGATGTCGTGAGATTACATATGCTAAATGAATACATGCGCACAACAGATGTTCTACAATCTCCAAGAGCCTTACACGACAGTTCCATACAACAACGAAAGAAGCAGAGTCGCGCATCCATTCCTCCCTGGTCTTATCCTGTGCTAGATAAAATGCAATGCGGCCCCTCCCATTCCCTCCACATAGCTCTCCCCTTTCTTGAACTCTGCCTTTACTTCATGTCACCCTCCCGTCTTGTCGTCGGCGGCTTGACGTTATCGTCCTCTCCCTAGCTGCGCCAGCGACCTTGGGTTCCACAGACTGTTCTGTCAATCTTTCGCAGACGTTCCATTCCTCTGCATGCCAACGCTGCCACAGATCTTCTAGAAGAAGCATGCATGAGGCAGCAAGAAGCATATACGGAGTAGGACATATGCACGAAGCACATGCGAGCATACACGAATACAGCGTGCAGTGGTTGCCACGCTGTCTGACACTGTCCGACTGGACAACGCAGCTGCTGTGATGCCGTTGCGATATGTGTCGTGCCGTCGAGGAACAAAAACATTGGGCATTATCAGCACGGGCTACAAGGCGTCCTTTTGCTGGCCGCTGCCAGCAAACTCGCCTGCAAAGTGCCGTCTTGGCTCTGTCCTACTTTCTTCTGTCGTGTTGTCTCTACGGCAACCTACATACTGTAGAGAGACCATCTCGAGAGCAGTGGACGACGGCGATATTGATTTTGTCATATTTGCTTCGCACAACAGTGTCGTAGAAAAAGTCCCAAGTCAATTCCGGATGTATGCTGCCTCTGGTGCACGTAAAATGTCACATGGACATGCTCATGGTTAAGCTTCATCTGTTTCCTGCTTTCTTATGTTCCTTGTCTTCTTCCTTGACGCCGTGATGATGAATCGCGGTTTCCTATTTAGCCAAATCGCGTTCCGACCCAATAGGGCAGGCACCCGCCATGGCAATCGATGCCCGGCTTCCCCGAGTATGGAGCCCCATTGCGCCTCGCTCGGCACGCGGCACCATGTTGGCGGTTTGGGTCGACCCGTCGATGTCCCTGGTATTTGCCCCCGTGCCATTGAATTTGCCTCTCGGGGGCAGGAAGGCTGTGCAAATCGCTTGCCCACGAACACGGGAGCACAACGGACTCCAAATCAATCCGAGTCCCTCAGGCGCGTCGAGTAGAAAATAACGTGCATATGTGCTTCTTTTTCGTCCAATTCTTAATCCTCCCGTACGACGGGCCAATGGGGATTCTACGCAGACATCTTGAACCAAGCCCCCCCAAAAAAGACGCCCAGAGTGCTGCGACATACGCGTGGATTTGGGCCGCACTGTGTTCGTTTAAGCAGCTGAAGGACACGTGACACTCCCTCACTCCTGCAAATGGCACTGTGCGAAGCAGGGAGCAAGTGTAAACCATTTTCAGGGTCCAACTTGATTGTCAAAGATATCCCCACGAATCGCCTCACTTGTATTTACTGAGGAAATGCCAGTGACATCGAAACAGTATTCATTTGCGGAGAACCTCGTCAGAATTCACACGGGTGCGATAGCTCCCCATAGCCGTAACGGTCAAGCCAGTCTAGATCCAGCATACCAGGCCCTTCTGGCCCACTCAACCCCCTATTCTCAGCCCCTATACTATTGTTAGAGCCCCTGAGGGATATGGAGACCTCCTATTTATAAGTGACGAAACTCGATATCCAGCTGTTCATTTGCACGAGAAGAAATGTAAATACGACACACCAAAGTGGAGATGTTAACCATGAAGAATCACAAGGCAGACGTCGACTTAACAGGCGGTAAAGATCAAGTACACAATAAATTGCAATGTTTAACAGGACCAGCTTTATGAAAACGACGCCAATCGATTTGATAACCAAATGTTGTGCTGCATTCAAAGGCACTGAGAGCAGTGTGCTGCAAGGGCGACAGGATAATGCCTACAGTGTCATCTGGCTGCAAATATACTGTGTTCAAACCTAGATTGATTGCCCCCGCCATGCTGTTGCCGCCACCTGTTTTGCCCCTGGCGCCAGGTGTTTCCGCTACAGATTAGCGCATGCTTACGTCGGTCCAGCACCTAATCACGGACGAAACCCCGCCCTGTCTCAGCCTCTTCCGCCATCCACGCTGCACTCACTCTGGCACTGTCAAAGGCTGCCCCGGGGCGGGGACTGCACTAAATTGATTACAGGTTGCTGAGAAGTCGTCTCCAAGCCCAGCCGCCATGGTTATCTTACAATGCAGTCCCTCCCCGCTGTTGCCCTCCGTCACCGAGTCGGCCAAAATTGACGGGTCGGTCCTGCTCTCTAATCCTCCGCCTAGTCTCAGCTTCTCCTCACTCTGTGCCTCTTTCCCTTTCTCACTCCTCGTTTCGCATCTACGTTCCTTTCCGACTGCTTCTTCATCTTTCCCTCGATCACGACCTTTCGACACGTCCATTGACAGCGCTTGATTCTCGCCTTTCTGCATTCTGCGCACCTTCATTAGCAGCGTTGGTTTTGTAACTGCGGCCCATTTCCTTCCGAACCTAGTCTCCTCCACCGCTCTCCGCCTTTCTCTCACACTCGCTTTCCTCGTTTTCCGCATTTCGACCTCTCAAACGTCTCCTGCGTCTCGATTGTCCTCGACTGCCCACAACCCGCTCTTTGAAGACTGTCTCGGTTTCGTGCTCCGCTGTCTGTTGGCTGTACGTCGTCCAGACAGTGCCTGCGTCAAACACTCGATCGACTTCTCCAAATAAAATCCCCTCCAACCTCCCCACCTCAGACACAGTTTCGCGAACATGTCGACGTGGAAATTGACAAAGAGTAAGACACCATCCAGCCTGTCCCGGCTTCTTCCAAGACAATGTAACATGGATCGTTGTGGGAGAATGCATGTCCCAACGTCAACCCGGAGGCTGTATGCTCGGAACGTGCCGGACATATCGGACGCACCTGAATACCAGTATGAATCCAAGGCTGACCATATCTCCCTCCTACTATAGAGCTGAAGGAGACCCATCTGGGTCCCCTCGCCAACTTCTCGCGGTCGACGTCCACGTCCACCATTGCTCCCGAGAAGGAAGAGAAACCTGCGGCTACGCCTACGCCTCCCGTCGCCTCCAGCACCCCGACACCCCCTTCCAGCAACATTGGTAAGCCGAACTCCGCCCGCATGTTGAGTGTCTCCTGGGGATCCTAACTCTTTCTCCAGCTGCCTCTGAAGCACTCAGCCAAACCGACGTCATCAAGCCCCCAAAACCCGGCATCCTGGTCGTCACCCTCCACGAGGGCCAGGGCTTTGCCCTGCCCGAGCAGCACCGCAATGTCTTCAACCCCCAACACCAGTCTTCTCTGTCCACCAGCAATGCCCTCTCCAACATGGTCTCTGGGTCCGTCCGGCCCAGCTCCTCGCAGCGCCCAGCAGGCGGCTTTACAAATGGCTCCAGCCGGCCGCAGACGTCCGCAGGCAGCGGCTTCGGCAGCATCCCCACCAACCACGGCCGTGTGTCGGGCAAGTACATGCCGTACGCCCTTCTCGATTTCGACCGCATGCAGATCTTTGTCAACTCCGTCGAGGGCACCCCCGAAAACCCCCTCTGGGCCGGCGACAATACCCAGTACAAGTTCGATGTGTCCCGCGTGACTGAGCTCGCCGTCCATCTCTACCTGCGCAACCCCAACGCACCCCCCGGCTCCGGCCGCAGCCAGGACATCTTCCTCGGTGTCACCCGCATCAACCCCCGCTTCGAGCAAAGCCAGCCGTACGTCGAGGACCCCAAGCTGGGCAAGAAGGATCGCGAAAAGGCCGCTGCCGAGCACGCGGCGCGCGAGCGTGCGGCAGGCTTCAGCGGCATCGACTGGGCCGATGTGCAGTACGGGCAGGGCCGCCTCAAGATTGGCGTGACGTACGTCGAGAACCGGGCCGG